GTTGGTATTTAGGGCAATGAGTTTTCGTCGGTAAAGGTCATGATTGTTGGCAAGCGAAACTGCCATGCAGACGATAAGCGGTGCTGATCTGAGCGGCATCTCTTTGTGCTAGTGGCCTAGGTATCGGTGTGTGGATGAATCATAGGGAAGGAGCAGACCTGCCATGTACATCATAAAAGTTTATCGCAATCGTGTGTGGCGAGAACAGGTTCATCCCGTCATACAAGGCGCCATTATGCTGTCATGTAGCGTCCGTGTGAGGCTGTTGGCAGCGATAAGTCTTGAAATAGCAGCCTGCCGATGCTGTAAATTATTGTGAGTGTACCTATCAAGACGCGCGCCGTATATATATCGCCTCTATGCTGCAGGAAATTTTGTCAAATGGAATTGTCTTTGTGTTCTTGGATTTTTTCGATTCTAGTTATTTCTATAATTAGCAATGATGATTGTCTTGAGATATTTCGTTCTCTTTCTCTCATTTGGGTTCGTTTGTCTTAGCTTAGTTCTTAGCAACCGGGCAATCAACTTTTTACACAACAGCTTTTGTCAACAAAAGAAAAAAGTATGACGTTCTTGTTATAAATGATTGCTGAATGGACAGCCTAGATGGAGATCACGTCAACCATTACTGAAACAGAGGCGTTTTGTCAATCAGCATGACCTTAATGTGGGGTCCAGCCGTATGTTGAATTAGATCTTTGTATTGAAGTTATAGAACCATACAGCCGAGGTTCCACCCCTAAGTGGAGGCGCCAAGGGAGTGGTGGAGGGAGTGGCAGCCGTGTTCAGCTCTCTGAGTCTTGGCTTGTCCGCTGCTCACCCCCACAGTCTAGACCTATACAAGGAATAGTAGGAATTGATTTATTCAGTATATCACAGTTGTTATATGTTGGGTTCAGGAAATATCCCCCAATCGAACGGAGGGAGTAAACATAGCGTGTTGGTAAATTTGCTTCTTTGTATTGATTAGGTTACTAGTGTTATGGCTTGTTAATTGACAACACAGATTGAAATGATGTCGCTGGGAGGTACTTATATTTATTTTTTTTTCATTTCTAGGTTAACCAAGGTTACACTTAAAGATGTCAGATAACTAACTATCAGGGGCAGTGAAGACGTTTGCCAGCACACGACATAGTGACGCCAAGTAGATAGACTATCACCCGCTTCTCGGAGCTGGGGATGAAGGACGTAGAGATACTCGACATTGCAGACATAGTTGTTGCTGTAGAACCCCAGAAAACTGACAGATACCAGCCTCGGTGATTCCTATGTCCTACCTCACCTCCGTCAGAGATTGATTAGGCCTTGAGACCCGGATGCCTGAAGTACGAGAGGTCTTGCACTTGAACTTACGATACACCTAGTTTAGTCTGTCCTGCTATCCCCCAGAGCCGTTCAAGGAACTCCCCTAGGAGCCGGTGGATGAACGTGGGATAAGTACATGTTCACTAGGGACGAAGCGGGCGATGATGTGGGGAGAGGTGGTGAGAGATCGTCGCGCACCTGGCAACGGTGTCGGCGCCAGGTAGTCGGGGCGGTGTGGACGACAGCCTGATAAGTTTTCACGTACGGTTCCGACGCATGGCTAGGTAAACAACCTGTCGGGGAAAATTAATATAAAAAACACATGTTACCTCGCCTGAATACTTTTCGTTTTGTTAATAATGTAGTTTTGAAGTTCGTAGAAGGGAGGAATGTGTTTGGGTGTGTTTTAAAGAGCTGCATGGCATTGCTTCAGGTATCTAATCAAGTTTATTGAATACCTTGGCTCATTTACGGGACAAACATTCCGCCAGGATATAATGGTTACGTCATCTCTAAACACTTTTAGGATTTTTACACTCGTACTCTATCATGTAAACGAAAACTGAGTGTTGGTTGGCAGATTTCCACATTCACTTTGCTCCTGCATAAACAACAGCACATGCAAACAATGCGAAGTGAGTTGTGTTGTGGCCTTAGCTTGCTTACCGTGCATTCATACAGCCACACGCGTACACTTACACACGCAGAGTCACGCGCACACACTCTAGAATGTGCACAACACACAAACATTCATAGAAGCACTTGCACACAGAGGATAAGTACTTTCAGGTTAGTATGTACAGTATGTGGTGGTATGTGTACTCCAGGCATACATGTCCAGCTTCAGTTTGTAGCACACCTCCATCCAGCGATCAGGGTCAGAATTGGTTATACATCGTTACTGTGTCAGCTCCTATACTTAACAATTAAATATGATACAAGTGTGCAACTTGTGTAAATATAACATGCAGCGTGGTGATCCATTACGTTCCTCGTAGCGAGAAAGCAGTCATTGGATTATGGATAGCTAGTGAGATGAGAATTTAAAACAACATGAAGGATGGAATAGTTAAGCGTGAATTAATTCGTCGGTGATTAAAGATTTGTTGAAAGAGAGAGAGGGGCATACTGAAACTGTGTGTATAAACGAATATGGATGATGGATACTTCTCTGGTTGGCTACTGATGGGCCGAGGTACCCATAACAAGGAACACTAGAGATAACCTGGAGAGGGAATCGCCTGAATGGGGGGTTAGGAAGGTTGCCAGGGGGACAGGTAAGGGAGAGAGGTATAAAACTTGGGGAGGGGGTTTGGGAAGGAGGGGCATATAGGAATCAATTTAGGTAGGGGAGAGGTTGATTACTGGGCAGAACTAGGGGTAGGGGTTGACTAAGGGAACAGGGTCAGTGGGGTTGACTGGGGGTATGGGTTAGTGGGGGCGGGGCTAGCGGGAAGGGTTGAATGGGGGTGGAGTTGACTTAAGGATTGGGACTTGCAGGGAAATTTAGTTTAAGATACAGGGTTGTTTGTGGAAGAGGTTGTGTGCGCGGTAGGTTAGGGTTGGGGGAACGATTGCTGAGGAAGGGCTGTGAAGGGTAGAGGTTGACTGGTTGGACCCGGGTTTGGGAAGAGGGTGGGGTTGAGAGGAGGCGAGACACGGGGGTTTGTGCAACAGTTCCGGGGGAGGGGTTGGCAGGTTGAGGCGACTCATTCATTAGGCCTTGAGTGAGCGGCGCCGGGGAGTCGGGCAGGGAGCTACACGCTGGGCTGATCCACCCCCACTATTACAAAAGGTGGATGGTTGTGACTCGCTCTCTCTCATTTGGTGCTCACCGACAGCCACGGCACAGACAGCGCGGTTGTTGCTCAGTTTTTGCTCAGATATGAGAAAACCGTAATATGCTGCTAGCCTGGACAATACTGTTGCCGTCAGCTACTGACTATTACATAAGCTATGTACTGTTACTTTTATTGTAGCGAGGTTAAAGTGATTAATGACCCGGAGAGAGAGAGAGAGAGAGAGAGAGAGAGAGAGAGAGAGAGAGAGAGAGAGAGTGTGTGTGTGACAAATATGCAGTGAACCTGTTTAATCTTAGGGATATTTTAATTTTAGCGCTATTTGCATTTGATATTGTTAAAATAGTTGTCAAGTTTGACTTCTCCTGAATGGAGGTATAAAATTATAGTTGGTCAGGAATTGTTAAGATTAAGTTGGTATTACAGACAGTATCTGTGGAGGGTGTAAAGGCGTCGAGCTAAGTAGTGCGTAGCGGCCACCGGCCCAGACTTAGTTGATTGACATCGTGTTGATGGCGGGGCGACGCGTTGTATCTCGCCTATGACTTACCCAGGGCAGCTTCCTGGCTGGGGATGCTGGATCGCTCGGAAGGTTTGGGAGGTGCGTGTGGGGCGGCGTTAGCCAGGCTGCTCATTAGGCCTTGAGGCGCGGCGCCGCTCAGTCGGGTGACGGTGTTGGGCCCGCCCCTCGTCCACCCGCTACAGCTACACCATGTGGCAAGAGACGCCCCACCGGGTACACTGTCTGCACCTCTCGCGCTCATCACCCCACTTTAACTTGCCAGGCGTCATGCACAACACACTGACTTCCTGGCGTCAGACACAACTCACTGACTTGTGGTCATGAACCGTTCACCTTGGCTCATATTGGCGTCACTCATCGCACTGCAGTATATCAATATACTGGCCTGGCATATACAGTAGTTGGCGTGATATTGTTGAGCTCTTGCTGGTGTCATCTTAATTTTCCATTTTCTCTCGCTGTTGGTATCGTAAACAGTAATCAATGAGACTCATGGTGTACTCGTTTAAAACTTTATGGACCTAACTAATCGTAGGCCATTTTAGCATTATACATACCGCTTATTCTGTCACTTCATAACCCGCACAATGACTCGGTGAACCTAGTGTCATAGGTCATACTAGTGCTACACATAGCTAAGTCTGCTAGCCTCATACATAAGTCTGCCAGCCTCATACATGTCTTGTCGCAAAGTAATCATAAAATCACCGCAAAGTATAACAGAAGCTTAATTGTATTCATACTCACAACATTGATGCATCGAGCGGGTTGTGTTTTGCTTTACTGTATTTGTTTCCATGTTTCCCAATCTGTGTTTGGGGAACTTCACTCGCCTTACAGGTAGGCCCTATCACTTCCATCCATACCAACAGCTTTCAGAAAGAAGGTTGTAACTTAAACAACCATTTCAGAAACTGATCATTAAGTAATAAATTTAAAGAAATTTGACAAAGGCATAAAATATACTCAGATAATATAAAGGTGTACCAAAATAGATAGAATGGTTGATACAGTATTAAAAAAAAATAAGCAAAATGAAGTTTATAATTCCCTTAATGATGTAGGTTTTCAGTGAAAAAAAAAAAGTAAAGACAAAAATTGTGTTATGTTGCTTTAAGATTTCCCATGGCACATGAATATGGCATGGCTATATCAGAATTTAAAAGGTCTTTCTGCAGATCTTGTTTGTACTGTACTTTATCTTGCACATTTTTTACAGTATTGTACAGTATATGATTGAATTTTTCAAGAACATGACAATTCTTATTTGTTCAAGAGTAAATATCATTATCCACTGTACACAGGTCAAAACTTTAAATAATTCAATGATGTTTGTACAATGTGGCTCTAATGCTCATTTTTTATTACAGGTTCAATTCCTTGGTGCCAAGTAGCATACTGGGAAGGTCGAGAGCGGGTGGGTCGCCTGTACCCAGTATGCACACCTTCCCTCAACATCATGGGTAACACTCCTCATGGGGACGGCCTTTCTTTAGCTTCCCTCTCTGCCCATTCCCACACCTCTCCTTCTGAGCAAGTCAAAAGAACCAGGGAAAAAATTGGCCTTGGTAAGTATTGGTGTGTGACCTCCAAGTGGTTTTTATTTTTTGTTAAGTGATTTTGGAATGCATTTCTAGTGTGTATGCAGTTGCCTAGTTCTATTTTATATTAAAGTGAATATTGTACTGTATTATGTGCTTTGCAGTTTTATTTTTTTCTAAAATCCTCTGTATTCCTTGATCAGCATTATAAAATAAGGTATAACAATCAGAGTACCGTCCTCATATCTGAGGGTTGGCGACCACAGTCCATAAACATTGTTGGGCTGTATTTACCAATTCTCCAAGGTTTTGTATCTCTCTGGGGACCCAGGTTTAATTTCTTTCATCCAACCCAGTCTCTGCCTTCCCTGCCCCCATAGCCTTAACTTTGCCCATTAATATTTGTTATTATTCCCTTATCCCCAATTATATGACCAAAGTATCAAATTTTTCTTATATTTCAAGTATTTCTCTTGAATTTTTTGCTAATCTTCGCACTTCATTTGTTTTAGTGTCAGTGTAGCTTATTTTTAGCATTCACTTTAAACACCACATTTCAAAGGCCTCCTACCTCTCTGTTGTCTGCTGAATGTGTCCATGAATCTGACCCATACAATAGTCCTTGCCATATAAAGCTTTTCAGCAGCCCTTTTCTCAAATTGAAGTTAATGGCTGTTTTTATTGGGTTTACAGATTATTAATTGCTGTTTTACTTGTCCTTTTCTTGTTTTCATTTCTTCTTTACATTTACCACTACAACGACAGTACAACAAATGCACAACATTTTCCTGTTAAAGTTCTCTGTTGCCAACCATAAATTTTATTTTAGTGTTCACCTTTTTCACTAATTTAACAAGTTTTTGTAATGCCTCCATGGTCTCTGATAATAGTAAATTAAAGAAAACGCAGTACTGTACTGTATACAATTTATACAGTATATGATTTTTTTTTAAATTTCATATACCCTGTACTGTATACAGTAATGAGAACCAAACAAGCATAGAAACAGGCTATATTGTATCAAATGACCAAATTTTTAATGTTGTGATATACGTACTGTACAGTACGAGTACGTACTGTACTGTGTTTATAAAAAAGGATTTAAAATAAAAAATCCTACAATTTACGCAGCCCAAAGAAATAAGTGTGAAAAATGTGTGGGAGCAAATTTGCTGAAGGGGATGATGTGTTTTTAGTTTTTCATCAGTCGGAATGATAAGCAGTAAATTCAAATTCTAAAAGTAATCATGAAATGCAGTATATATTATATTAAGGATAAATAAATCTAGGACAATAAAGTTTATTTTATAGTAATGATGTTTTTTTTTTTATTGCCCAAAATGTAGTAATTTACAGCACAGGTATATTGTATACAGTACATTTATAAATGAAGATTTTATACATATTCTTTATTTTATAATTCTTTTAATACTTATGACTTACAGGACAAATTGGAGATAACATGTAATTGTTGTTATTGCAGGTTTGGTGCTGTATCAGGAGGGTGACAGAGTGTGGGTGTACAACCGGGCAGATGTGCCACTCTTCATCAACTCTCCAACATTAGATGGGGGATTACACACCCGCGCCCACTTTATTGTCCACAAGCTTCCTCCGGGACACATTCTTAACATCTTTGACTATGACAAAGCCCGGCTGTATCAAAAACTTCCTGTTCACCCAGACTTGTTGCATGAGGGGCCCATTGATCAGAACGCTGTGCGGATATCCTTTGTAAAAGGCTGGGGGCCTAACTACCACCGTCAAGTGATCACTGAATGCCCATGCTGGTTAGAGATCCTTCTTGTGCCTGCAAGATGATGGCATCACTGCCTGGTGCTCTCTCACTGCCCGCCCAGTCTTGACTCCCTTTGGTTGGCTGCTGGCCGGTCCAGCAGCTCATTCAGTAGGGGCAGCAGAAACAGCCCTCACATTGATAAATATGTGTAGTGGATGTGTTAAACCCACATGTTGAAGCAGCAGGAAACAAAAGCAGCACAAAAGGGGCAGCTTTGATATTGTGTTGACCCAGCCAAGGCTAGTGTGTAAAGTTTATCTGAGGACTGCTGTAACAAGGTGCACTTAGGTCCTGAGGAAAGCATTGGTAATGGATCCTGTGCACCAGGAACCTCTTGACAAGTGTTACAGTGCAAGATATTCAGTAATATTGGGATATATGAGTTATTGTGACTCTTGTCACTGCGCAGAACAATGTAGGTGGGTGTGAATATTTAGTGTGAGATTATTTCAGATTGCAATTAACGGGTCACAGTTTTGTTGGACATTTTTCTGTGGTTATCTTGCCAGTGAATTGGGGCACCATGTGTTAAAAGATTTTTATTGTAATGAAATCTAGTCTGTTTGTTATTTTTGTTACTGTCTCCTATCACTGTCTGTTTTATATTTACTAATACAGTATCCTCAATATGTAATAAACAAAATTTCTAAATGAAGGTTGCCTTTACAAAAGCTAGAATGCTTAGATACAAAATGGAACACCCTGTTTAACTATTCCAATATAATGTAATAAGCTCTTCAAATTTAGAGCTTTACCTCTACCTTTTGTGAATGTGACCAGAATGGCTTTTGTCCACTTAACTACAGAACTCGGCATCTTGCATAATGTTTAGGTGTACTGTACAGACAAATGCCGAAAATATTTTTATATGAACAAAGTTAGTGTGACAGTGAAACACAACACTTTCATAAAGTGTATGATGCTTAGCATATATAATCCTGCCTCTTCTATGCATAAAGGTCTTTGTATGCAATGTGTTCCATAAGAAGTAACAAGAGGCATTGCTTTTAAAATTAAAAAAAAAAAGAAAGGTCAAATTAAAAGTTATATGCTTGCCCTTTGGATCCAGTTCCATTTGCAGCAAAGTAATATGCTACCTAGTCTGTGCTGACTGCATGTGGCATTCTAGCCACACATGGACCTGTGCACACTAGAGTCCATGTCCTGAAGGTGCTACTTAGGAAAAAGGATCTTTCACTCTATTGAAGTACAAATGGCTTCCTTGCAAACCCTGGTGCCCTCATACAGTGTTTTATACCTACAGTATATCCATTCTTTGGAATTCTAAATCTGCACATGCTAATATGAACCAAAATTTCAAGCATTTGGATTTTTTTAAAGCTATTTTTCACAATAATCAATCTTTCCCTTTATGTACAATATTTACTGTGATGTGATTAAAGCAAACATGCAGTAATTTAAACTCTTCAATGTGCCATTTAGTATATATATATATATATATATATATATATATATATATATATATATATATATATATATATATATATATATATATATATATATATATATATATATATATATATATATATATATATATATATATATATATATATATATATATATATATATATATATATATATATATATAATATATATATATATATATATATAATATATATATATATATATATATATATATATATATCTCGATCGATGTGGAAACTTTACCAACAGCACTTCTTGTAGTTAGGAATTCTTGTTTGGTTATCAAATAAGTGCCTATTGTCAATGTCTCCAAATTTTTTAAAGAGTTATTATCGTAGTATGTATTCACCAAATGAAGTGGTTCCACATGTACAGTACAGTACTGCATTGAGATTTAAATTCTCTGTATGAGTAAACATTGGAAGTATTTATTTATACATTAATATACAGTATAATAAACATTGGTATGTCATAATTTGAGGGTACCATAGTTGGCCTAATATCAGTAAACTGTCTTTTTGCCAGGAAGTGCCTAAGCGTTTAACAGGTTTTCACATAGCTACTGTATAATTAAATGAAAGCCTTCCATTCTTTGTTTTAACTTAATTTAAAATAAGCTTTGGGTTAAAGTCTGGTACATCACTTTATTAAATTTGTAAATCTGTGAAATTTGTTTAAGAATTTAACCAACGACTCCTGCAAATCTTTGCAATCCAGTTACATGACAATCAAAAATGTCGTAGTTGTTTTATGAAGTGAATTTAAAGCAGTCTGGAATTCAAGCTAAGGATCTTAGTATTAGAAAACATATTTTCATTTGACAAATTTTTTATAATGTAATGAGAATTGTTAAAACTTAACATAGTTTTGCAAGAATTTTACTGTGCAAAAAAAACAAAGCAAACATTCAGAGTTGTGAGGAATGTTTTTCTAAGATCAGCAAAGTTCAGTAAGTCTATTGCTGGTACATTAATGAGCCTTACATTACTCCAGTTGGAGTGAAAATTTGAATCTTTGGAGTGCTCTCACTAAGTGGGAAAATGGCTGACCCAGGACTGAATTCTCTTTGTACCATTCTGTGATTTTCTGGTTGAATATATAATGTAAAATGGTGAATATGACGATTTAAAAAAAATCATTTAACCTGTTTCTTGTAACTACTACACAAAATTATTTTTTGTTGGAAATACTGACAGTGTCAGAAAGTGTTCTAGGTTGCTTGAGAATTTGGAGCCGGGTTACAGATAAATATTGTGGGAAGGGATGGGACCAAAACATGCAGAAGTGCCTCATAAGGGATAATACAGGGTCATTTGAGGTAGGCTTTTGACCTGTAGCATGTAAAGTTTAACCTTAAATGTGAGTCTAATGTGATACACTTCCAATGGTTATATAGAGTTAAGCCATGGAAAAGAGGATTGTGTGATAGCTGATGGGATGGCTGTTAGGTTTGTAGTTTGGATATTAAATTAGTGTTAGAGGTTAGGAGGTAGGCAGTTCCTTTTAGTGACAGAAGGATAACGGTAGAGTGACATTTAAATGTGATGGAATATCATGGATTTTTTCTGGTACATCAAGATTCTTTCATTCACCATGAAGAAAGGAGCCTTTTGTAACTGGTTATGCATCTTCATGTCTAGGCATCACAATTATGGTGTTACCTGTGTAAGAAGGTAGGGGTAGCATCATCTTGTTAATATGGTGATAAAAAAGGAAGTTATGTGAATAATAGAATGATTGTCATTTAAGTTAATGGTATAAATGTGTTGGCATTGAGTGACTGAAATGGGATTTGTATTTTCTTTCCAATATACTCTAGAGACAGAAGCAAGCATTGCTTTTATTACATGCCAGACTTTCTGGTTATCTGTGAATACTGCAATGATGAGCTTTACCTCTCAACTCCAATATGGCTCCTTTTTTAAATACTGCGTGCAAGCTTGCAAAGTGAACCATATTGAAGTGTGCCATTTGAGGCTATAGAAATGGCCAATCACATGATGTGTTGTTTCTGTCTTGTCAGGATATTGTGCATTTAAATGTGAACATCTCTTGCCATCACCGCAAGATCCTGGATAAGCCCAACACATCCTCGATTGCCGGTGTAGGTGAGAGGCAATACATGTCAGTTATTTACTGTGGCAACCTGACTCCCTTAACCCACCTGAGAGTGACTGGCTGTACAATGTATCCACACCTGTACATAATGTATATAAGAAGTTACTAAAGTTAATTGGAGAAGCACAGGGTGGTTGCTATTTTAGAGGAAAGATATTTCCTGCCTTATATTTTTGTTAACCTGGCAATGCTACCTACCACTGCTTCACCATAGCATACTATGTAATAATTAATATGGGTCAACCATGTTAAGAACATGTACATTTGATTTTTATTAAAAATTTTAGATTATATATATGCATCTTAATCTTTGTGTACCTAAGTGTGTTATGGAATAATCTACATGACATTGATTTTGTCTTCAAAATAATTATTATATTCAACTATTATCAACCATCACACCTGAACTGTACAATGCCAGTTTATGGTGTGATACATACCATTGTGCAATACCATCTGTAGGTGTGATGCTGTGCAATGCCATCTATGGATAAAGGGTTCGGATACTCGAAACTCTTAAGTCAATTACAAGCTTGTAATTGACTTACAGCATTCAAACTTACAAACTGCTAACAATATTGTATAAACCCCTCCATACTCAAAACTATTATGCAATGTTATTAGGGTCAAGCACCAAAGCGTAAAGATAGGAAAATAAATGACATGTTTATTTCCAAATCTTTCTCAAACTGAGTCTCAATATTATGGTTGTCCAAACAGGATCTTTTAGGCTTAAATATTAGCCCAGCATGACCTACCGAAAGAGAATACGTTCAGCCGCTCTTATCCCTACAATCCATTGCAGGGATAGTAAATGGGCTGAAAATATATCCATCCAACACCATGATCACTTTCTTCCTAATCCACACAAGTATTGTCAACATGGACTTATGGTCCACAGACATAATGTTATAAGGATACAGACCTACCTGGCAAGTATCTGAGGCAGGGGATGACCCGCACTTCTCTTCCTGTAAACTCTGTAACTGTCCCAACGCTAACACCCTTCAACACTATTGCTTTGACGGTTCCACTGTCAGTGACCTCCTACCACAGGGAGGGCGCCAACCACTAATGTCACCACCTACTTATTCATAATAATTTAGATTTAATTTTTGTCTGCTACCCACGCTCTGGTGAGTGCTAACTTCCATTGTCCTTAAATCATATAAATATTGTCTTCATATCACAAGTCATAGAATATCCTGCTAGACAGGAGTATCAATGTATTGTGTCTGACCACTTGGTCTTGTGACTAGGCTTGTTGCCCCCTGGGATGTTAAAAACAGAGTTGTAAAAAGCATTGGACTTGTTACTAAAGTAAAAGTATTGTTACATTGGCAAAATGTTACTCAAGTAGAAGTAAAAGTATCCAAATGTCAATGTACACAAATAGAAGTAAAAAAGTATCTCATTCTTAAAGTACTCGCATACTGAAAGTAAAAATTAAAAAAAAATATATATTAATTGTCTCAAACATTAAAATAAATCCACAGTAAATTATAAAAAAATAGTTGACTAAAGATAAAATAAAAGACAGCATTAATCAATAACTGATTCTCAAAATTATGGTTGTCCAATCAGGATCTTTTCGGCCTAAATATAAGCCCAGCACGACCTAACGAAAGTAATATTCAACCACTCTTCTCGCTACAATCCATTGCAGGAATGGCGAACGGGCTGAAAATGTATCCATCCAACCTCACCTAACCTTGCTTATCCACTCATGTATCATCAACATGGGCTTATGGTCCACAGACATAATGTTGTCTCTGCTTGCATTAGGTTAGGATATAAACCTATCTGGCATGTACCTGATGTGGGGAATGACCCGCACTTCTCTTCCTGTAAACTCTGTTACTGTCCCAACACTAACACCCTTCAACACTACTGTACTGTATTGTCTTGACTGTCCCACTGTAAGGAACCTCCCACCATAGGGACAGTCACTAACCACTATATGTCATCATCACCTACTTATTTGTAATAATTTAGATTTAATTCTTATATGCTTCAAGCATTAGGTTAGGATATAAACCTATCTGGCATGTACCTGATGTGGGGAATGACCTACTTCTCTTCCTGTAAACTCTGTTACTGTCCCAACACTAACACCCTTCAACACTACTGTACTGTATTGTCTTGACTGTCCCACTGTAAGGAACCTCCCACCATAGGGACAGTCACTAACCACTACATGTCATCCTTATTTGTAATAATTTAGATTTAATTCTTATATGCTTCAAGCATTAGGTTAGATATAAACCTATCTGGCATGTACCTGATGTGGGGAATGACCCGCACTTCTCTTCCTGTAAACTCTGTTACTGTCCCAACACTAACACCCTTCAACACTACTGTACTGTATTGTCTTGACTGTCCCACTGTAAGGAACCTCCCACCATAGGGACAGTCACTAACCACTATATGTCATCATCACCTACTTATTTGTAATAATTTAGATTT